AGACAACCTCTCGTCAATATGCGTTTTTCGCATTGCATTGCTGCAAAAAACGCATAAAAAGGAAGACGTAAAAAATACGGACACATCGAAGGATAATGTGTTATCACTTAGGATGTGTTTTGTTTTAGCTATACTTCTCCACAAAATATATTTCCCCTGTCCAAGACACCTATACTTCTCTTGTTTCCCTGTTCAAGCACAACTTCAGTATTTCAAATTTAGCCTTCACGTGTGCGCGGTTTTTACGTACGGGCGCTTAAAGGTTTTGGCGGGAAAATTTCTAACTGAATAACTAGGTTGCTTTTAAAAAACGACCATTAAATGGAAATTGTACATTTAATTTATGTAAAATTTATGCTGATTTATGCTGGTGACCGCAAAACGCGGGTGTAAGGCAACAACCATTCATGCAGTTAACCACCTGAGTACTTCAAGTCCGGTGCAAAACATGATCGCACGGGCCCGCCCGGTGCGTTCCACCCTGGATTGCATTTGCGTGTTTGGAAAAACCCATAAAAAATAAATTGTCTCAGCAAATTCACCGACATGCGTAGAGTCATCCAGTAGTACTCAAGAATGTTGCGGCCCCAAAGGGAGAAGAGAGAGGGAGGGAGACTTCCCGTAATAATTTATTGTGTGATTTCCGGAGGGAGACCCCCTCCAGAGATCATTTACACAATAAACAGCAACGCGCACCAGACTGGCCGGTGCGATCATGCATTTTGTACAATTCAGCCCATCGAACGATTGTCTATTAATGATTTTTACTGCTTTGTACTTTTGTCTATGCAAAAATAGTTCAACAATTGGAAAATAGTTAAAAATTTCACGCAGCAGCGCGTGAATATCTTTCCGCGATTCCCTAGTTAATAGTTTAGCCGCCAAAATTCCCACGAGGCCGTAGGTGATACTCAACAGCGAGGAAACGCAGAATTTGAATAGGCAAGGTTGAGCGTAGGCAGGGAATTATTATCTTAAAATTTCAGCCTGCTAAACTCCGTGTTTCCTGGAATATTGATTTACCCGTAAAAAACTTTCACGGAGCCGTACGAGTTACTCGCGGGTACCGAAAGGCTGAATTTGAATGGGCAAGGTTGAGTGTGGGCAGGGGGTCATTACTCTAAAATTTCAGCTTCCTAGACCCA